TTACCACACAACATAAGAAGACTGCATAGTCCAATTAATAGCTCAAAGCTGTCATTTAAAATGCACACTTACTCACAAACTCTTTATATTCTATACTGTCTTTCAAAAGTGTTCAACGAACTGATTGTTTTAGCTTTGAGGAAAATCATTGGGTATGAAAATATTATTGTACCTCTTTTATTGCTTTATCTCCAGTTTTTATTTTGAATTTACTAAACACTGAAAAAGCAACATACATCTGAAATTTTAAATAGTCAAAAAATCTTTTGAAAGACTTTCCCTAATTTTTATATAAATGCTAGCCCTAATAGACATCATACTTAATTCTTATCAAGTTTTCTCTGGAGATCCAAAACAGTATAATCTTCAAGCATCCACCCAAAGATATTTTTGTAAGTTTTCTTACCACCAATATTTGTTGCCTAGCAATGAAAGTGCTACTGTGCTACAGAAAGAAAAACTACCATGGTATCCCAACCTACAAACTAACCAATGCTTAGTGTTATTAATGGAATAATCAGAAAAAAATATTGTAATCAAGCAACATGAGTATCGTTACTTTATATATTTGATGTTACAAAATGTTAAAATGGTGCCTATCCATCTATTCTAGGAACCATTAAAATAATTTAAAAATATAATCGAAGTGCAGCAAATTAAGGGAACACACCACTAATCCTTGTGCCTCTCCAACATTTCCTAACCTTTCCAGTACTACCCCCACCCCATACAGAAGACACGTTTATACTGTCTCCATACTGGGCCCAGGAGCACTGCCAAGAAGAGCATCACTGCCCCCTCTGAGCGCAACACTACGAGTGGGCACATGCATTTTCCTAGGGACAAGTAGCAGCAGCATAAAGGCACAGGTTGCTATTTGGCACGTGTGTTCCCTGGGGACATGCGTGCTCTGGTGCATGGCAGGTTGCCCTGTGTGTGATAAGGGAGTCTGGGGCTAGCAACTGTGCTGGCCCCAGCAGCCTTACCTGAGGTCCTGGGGGCTTCCAGGAGCTGCAGCCTCAGCGCTCCTACAGAAAGGAGTCTGGTCAGCAGCTGCAGTGTGGCTCCAGCCAGCCAGGCTCCAGTTTTGGGCAGTGTGCACTGCTGCCACATGCACCGCCCCGCTTTTTTTGGGGGGCAGGGTTTTTTTACCTCTGGATCTCCAGGGGCACTGCTGCGAAGTAGCAGTGTGGGGAAGGCCTGCACATGCAATGCGTGGCACTGCAGATCTGCACACATCTGCACTTGTCTGGACGTGCCCTTTCACTCCATGCCTAGAATATTGGCTAACAATACAGCCACCTCACGGCAGCACTGCCCACATATTAAGACACCAAACCAGGACTAAGAGTTTGAGAGAATTCACCACTTCTGGTGGTGGAATTCACCACTTCTGTACGGCAATTAAGTTGCCCAATTTCTAGCATTTGGGGGGTTCAAAGCAAGAACAAGGGGCCAGCACTTCTTGGTCGTATTCCTGGCCCACAGACAAGGTATATATGCCCACCCACTCTAGATACACATTTGAGGGCAAGGAGAAACAAAAAGGATACAGCTCAAACTCCAGATCCGATACAAAACAGGAGGGTATGTCTGAAAGCACCACCATCTGCAAGAATTGTAGTGCAGGACCATAATAATGAAAAACCTGAAACGAAAGTAAATTTAGAACTTTATAATTGGTATTTTACTGAAATAAGCCTTGTTTGGGTGCTTTGCTGCACTGGGACCATATTTTAGAACAAGTTTAAAGGAGTATACAGGGTAGGGGAGAGGGAGAAAGGTTTTCCAGAACAAAATAGAATACGACTAAACATGTTTAAAGACAAAACATAACATATTTTCTCACATACTACATGTCTTATTTGGGGGCATGCACCTTGTTTTGGGGAAGGCAGAATGAAGCCCAGCATTATGGCTACATGGAGCATGTACAGAGCTCAATCTTCAGCTCACTCACCCTCCCTTCCTGCTCCGGCAAAAGGTACAGTTTTAACCCTTTCACAGCTGAACTGACTTTTTTTG